AAACTTGCTGCAATTTGAAAAAGTGTCAACTAGAACTTGTGCTGCAAGTGCTTTGCAAGTGTACAACTTGCCAGAGAATGTGTGCAGTTAACAAGACTTACAATTTAACCCCGCCACAAGTTTGTGTCAAGTTATCCTTGCTATCTGGGGCTTGTCTCATATAGCTTAGGTCCTCTAGCCCCCGTAATTAGTTTGGTTGCCCTTCTCTGGACTCTCTCCAGCTCCAGGACATCCTTTCTGTGGATTGGTGACCCAAACTGGACTGCATACTCCAGATTAGGCCGAACCAATTATCTATAAAGTGGCAAAATTATTGCTTTGTCTCTACAGTACATTCCCTTTTTAATACAAGACAGTACTCTGCTCGCTTTGTTTCCGTAGCCTGGCATTGCAAGCTATTATTCAACTTGTGGTCTACCATGACCCCCAAATCTTTTTCCATTTCTGACTTCCCTAGTGGAGTACCCATTAATATGTATTCCTCTTGCCTATTTTAACCCCAAAGTGCATTACTTTACATTTTTTAACATTAAACCTCATCTGCCATATAGTTGCCCACTCCCCTATTTTATCCAGGTCCTCTTGTAATGTTATAATGTCTAAGTCTGTGTCTATTACCCTCCCAATTTTAGCAACATCAGCAAACACAGAAACATGGCTATAAACAATATCATTAAAAAACAGGTTAAACAGTATGGGGCCTAGCACAGAACCCTGAGGCACGCCACTCTCGACCTTAGACCAATCTGAAAAAGAGCCATTTTTCAATACTCTCTGGACGCGTTCCTGTAGCCAGTTCTCTATCCATGTACACACCATTTCATCTATTCCATAGATCTCAGTTTGTGTATTAAGCATTTATTTGGTAACATGTTAAAAGCTTTGCAAAATCTGGGTATACCACATCCACCGGCCTCCCTCCATCCAGATCTCTACTCACCTCTTCTTAGAATGTTAGTAGGTTGGTCTGACGAGAACGGTCCTTCCTAAATCCTTGCTGATTATCATTTTCTCAGGGACCAGAGCACCTCCATGTGGAGCTGGAACTTGGTCCTGCAGTTCCTGTGCTCACCTGCAGCTGTCTCTGGGCAGTCAGTGGCTGTCTGGAACTTGAGCACCTCCAGGTGGCACTGTGAAGCTGGAACCAGGACCTGCAGCTCCAGGGCTCACCAGTTACTGCAACTTTGCTCTTGCTAGAGACTTGTCAAGCAAACTTGCTGCAATTTGAAAAAGTGTCAACTAGAACTTGTGCTGCAAGTGCTTTGCAAGTGTACAACTTGCCAGAGAATGTGTGCAGTTAACAAGACTTACAATTTAACCCCGCCACAAGTTTGTGTCAAGTTATCCTTGCTATCTGGGGCTTGTCTCATATAGCTTAGGTCCTCTAGCCCCCGTAATTAGTTTGGTTGCCCTTCTCTGGACTCTCTCCAGCTCCAGGACATCCTTTCTGTGGATTGGTGACCCAAACTGGACTGCATACTCCAGATTAGGCCGAACCAATTATCTATAAAGTGGCAAAATTATTGCTTTGTCTCTACAGTACATTCCCTTTTTAATACAAGACAGTACTCTGCTCGCTTTGTTTCCGTAGCCTGGCATTGCAAGCTATTATTCAACTTGTGGTCTACCATGACCCCCAAATCTTTTTCCATTTCTGACTTCCCTAGTGGAGTACCCATTAATATGTATTCCTCTTGCCTATTTTAACCCCAAAGTGCATTACTTTACATTTTTTAACATTAAACCTCATCTGCCATATAGTTGCCCACTCCCCTATTTTATCCAGGTCCTCTTGTAATGTTATAATGTCTAAGTCTGTGTCTATTACCCTCCCAATTTTAGCAACATCAGCAAACACAGAAACATGGCTATAAACAATATCATTAAAAAACAGGTTAAACAGTATGGGGCCTAGCACAGAACCCTGAGGCACGCCACTCTCGACCTTAGACCAATCTGAAAAAGAGCCATTTTTCAATACTCTCTGGACGCGTTCCTGTAGCCAGTTCTCTATCCATGTACACACCATTTCATCTATTCCATAGATCTCAGTTTGTGTATTAAGCATTTATTTGGTAACATGTTAAAAGCTTTGCAAAATCTGGGTATACCACATCCACCGGCCTCCCTCCATCCAGATCTCTACTCACCTCTTCTTAGAATGTTAGTAGGTTGGTCTGACGAGAACGGTCCTTCCTAAATCCTTGCTGATTATCATTTTCTCAGGGACCAGAGCACCTCCATGTGGAGCTGGAACTTGGTCCTGCAGTTCCTGTGCTCACCTGCAGCTGTCTCTGGGCAGTCAGTGGCTGTCTGGAACTTGAGCACCTCCAGGTGGCACTGTGAAGCTGGAACCAGGACCTGCAGCTCCAGGGCTCACCTGCAGGTGTCTCTGCAATCAATCACCACATGGTGTTACCTGGGAGGGTATTCAATCCCTCCCTACAGTGGGGATTTTGCCACAGTATTGTCGAACCTGTATCCTGTTGCCTGAGTCCTGTGTCTCTTGATCTGTGGCTCCCCTCCTGTAGCCCTGCTCCCCTGGTTAACTTGCCCTGTTGTACTCCGTGTGTTATTCTGTTTACATTTAGTTTGGCTAATTTATGTTGATTGTGGGTGTTGGTGGGGTTGCTTGCATTTATATGATTTTGTATGTCTAATAAACTATAAGTTCATAGCCTTGTTTGGTGTGGTCGAGTATTTCGTCCTCCCATATAGATACCTGCACACGGTGTGGGGCACCTGTGCATGGTATCTTGACACATTTATTATACCATTGTAGCAAACAAAATCCTCTAAAGAGTCCTTTATCATTCCCTAGAAAAAGCTTGCATACTATTGATGTTAGACTGACTGGCCTGTAGTTCCCAGGTTGGCATCTGGAACCTTTTTTGAAAATTGGTACTACCGTAGCTTTCCGCCAGTCACTTGGTACCCTACCAGTCATATTGAGTCCTTGAAACTGAGGAATGGTCTGGTTATAACCTGGCTAGCAAGCAGTAGATATAGGCAAAACATTTTTTTTTAAAACAAAACGCTTTATCAGCGGTTTAAACTTACCTTGTTATCGCTGCGCGCTCACGAGCCGGGAATCCGGAACTGCTCGTGCGGCCGCAAAGGATCTTGGGGCGGGCGCATGCGCAGTTCGGATTCTCGGCCGGGAGACGAGCAGAGACGCAAGGTAAGTCTATGGACACGTGCACCTGCATGTAGACACCGCTGGATCAGAAGTGCCTGCAAGCAGAGAGGAGTCAGCGCTGGAACCGAGAGCCGCTGCACCTCTGGAGGGACAGATGAAAACATGAGGAAAGAAGATCGGATTAAGAGACATCATTTAAGGTAAGTGCTGACATTAACATGTGGGGGAGGGGAAAAAATGTATACTTTAATGTCACTTTAAGTACCTTGGGGTGCAGGTTACCTTGGGGTGCAGGTTATCTGGTCCCAGTGCTTTATTTGCATTACGTTTTTCAAGTCTTTGTTGAACCCCGGCTACTGTCAACCACTGTGTCTACTGAGGAGAAAAGTGAATATAACACATCAGCCTTCTCCCTGTCGTTTGTGATTAATCTCCCGTGTTTATCTTTTATTGGGCCTACCTGTTCTTTTCTTACCCTTTTACTGTTTATACATTGGTAGAATTTTTTAGGGTTCTTCTTACAGACTGGCGGTATGCTTTTCGTAATCTATTTTAGCTGCCCGGATTTCATGTTTACATCTCTTATTGCATTCATAGTAGCCCTCGAATGCCAATGCAGTCCCTTCCATCTTATATTATTTAAATGCCAGCTTCTTTTCTTTGATGTGGTGTTTTACCATTTCTTTAGTCTTTTTTTTTTTTTTAAATCAGAAGTCAACTTTATTGAACATATGCATGGTACAATGGTACAGGGAGGCTCAGCCTCAACATCATGACAGCATCCCCATAACAGTCTGGGGTATATGGTGCATACATATAACATAATGCATACAATATGGATAGGAGGAGGGGGTTGATCATCTCAACGAGAAAAGAAAGGAACCGTGGCACGTCACGAAAGTCAACATTGGTGAAATTCGAGTATGAAAAGAAAAATTATCAAGGAGCAAAAACGATGCACCATAGAGGCAGGTTGGAAACGTAGCGTTCGCGTCAAGTTGTTTTGTACAACATAACTATCGGAAGAGATATTGGCACTTACATTTGGCATCATTTCTTAATACATAAAAACAGATGCAAACTGCCACGCAATTGCACCTACTGTTCGTTTTGGTGCGGGAAGCGCGTTGTGCTGCCATTCATTTGGATGGCACCCCCAAACATACCCCCCGCCCACAGTTTCATCGCTTGCACATGCGGTACTGTAATGTCGTGCGTTCCAGTCTGGTGCGACTTGGGTTGCGACTTAATGACCAAGGACAAATGTGGGTCCTGAGGTTATATAAGTTGAGAACCAGTGCACTAAAGGGTGAAGAGTTTAGAGAAGGCAGGAAAAGTGAACAATCTAGGACAAAATAGCTGAACTAGAAAGTGAGCTAAATTGGAGAATTTTTCCAAATCAGCTATTTTGGCCTAGATTGTTCACTTCTCCTGCCTTCTGCAAACCCTGTAGATCTTTGCAGAGTTGCAGTTAGCAAAATAACCGCTGGGGGGCAATAGCGTGCTCAGCTCTCAGATTGGCTACCCCCCACACCGTCCGCTGGCTCAGCCCAGACTATAAACAGATGTGAGATGTCTGTCAGCGCAGCTTCAGACGCTCTATATTGAGAACAAGCAGCTGTGGGAAAGGAAGCGCACTTCACTTCGAGCTAGAATAACTAGCCGTGCACAGGAAATCATCCAACACAACGTGCTGATCTCCAGTATCATGCCTTTGGCTGCTGTGCTCGATGCATTTCACTGAACATGCCAGTATATCCTCAGTGTAAGTTTACTGGATAGTTTCTTTGACCTTCAGAAAACTGCTCCGGGATTTTCCTTTCTGTTGGAAGATTTGGCATTCTTTTATTTCACGTTACAAGTTTTATTAACTGACATATTTGAAGATATCTATTTTTTTTACACTTTTTCTGGACTACTGCAGTAGAATGATGGATGGAAGCAGCCTGGTCACCCAGACAAAGACTAAATTCAGGATGGACCCATTCTGTGACAACTACAGAGTGGTGGGCAAGGAGCTGGGAAGGTAAGACAGAGTCTTAAGCACAGGGTGGGCTGCTATATATTCATCATTACTTTTACATAGGTTGTCACTCCTGGGACCTGGACTATCACTAACAGGGCATGTTTTATAGATATAAATGCAGATCATTACAAATGACACAGACCCCATTCACACTGAGCTACATTCAGCGCTGATTTGAGCTGAGCGAGTTTGAGAGACATTGAACTACAGTGCACATATTGTCGCGCTACGTAGCTCTACTTTTGGCATGGACTTCGTAGCTGCTACATTGGGCTGTATCCAATCAAAAGCGGTCTTGATGTGGCATAATTCCTCTTCTTGTTTCCTGCTTATGTTCTTGGTTATATTTCTGTGCAAAAGTGACACTTCTGTAGTGTGACAATGTCGCGCAATGTTGTTCAAATTCGTGCGACATTGAGCTACACCATTAAAGTCTATTGGGCCAAATCGCACGAAATCCGCCGAAAAATAGGTCATGTTCAAGCGACAAGCTTGAGCTACAAGCTATAGGCAACATTGAGCTGTGAGATGTGAACAGCTCCATTGAAATGCATTGGACAAGCTACATTGAGCTGATGTTTGAGCGATTTTTGAGCTGAAATCGCGCTACAAATTGCTCAGTGTGAATGGGGTCTAAAATCCAGCATTTTCTCAACCAAGGTTTTGTGGAACACTAGGATTCCTCCAGAGGTTGCTACTGGCTCCTGTTTAAGAATTGTCCTAAGACAAGCCTCTCAAATTCTGAGAATTGCTGATAAACCAGTTGTATGATTATCCTGAATATGTCCATGTCGGTCTGTCTAGAGAATTATACAACTGAGTAATGTATTTGTACGCTTCTCTGCCGACTAGGAATTTGTTTGTGATTCATACAGGGGAATCAAAAAAATTGCACTTCATCTGATTTTCAGACTGTTTCACTTATCACTGCTATAGTATCTTTAGACCTTCCATTCCTTGTCCTGGATTATTGTAGCCTTGCCAATAGGTACTGCTTTCTTTGAAGAATCGGTGGTGAATCTGTTAGATAAGACTCTACTGTCTGGCAGTTAAAGGATTGTCATGGCTTCATTTCTCTTAGACATTGACTGTTTTGATCCTGGTGATACAGGGACAATTTAGTCAATTTGTTTTAGTGAGCATGGTGTTGGAGTAGCATGGGAAAGCTTACTATTCTAGTTGCGTGGTTAAAAACTACGGCATACCTTGTTAGTTGGGATAACACATGCAGTCCTACCATGACCATGACCACATAGTCATCTATGTTTACTAGGGATATCAAATTCAAGGGAAAAAGAAGACGATCTCAAAGTACCACAAAAGGGGCTGCATTAGACCCGCTGGGGGTTGCACTTCATTCAGGAAATATAAAAGCACTTTAGTAATTGAGATAAAACTAGAAATTACAATATTTTTTCCCTGAGAAAGCAACCAAGATACATTTCCTGAAATAAAAAATGGACATACAGGTAATAAAATGCAGACTGCAGGAACTTTATAACTACATGGGGCCTCAAATCTTAACATAGATGAAGACCACAAAGTAATCTGCCGAGTTGTCAGGGGGCGTCTAATATGTGTTCAAAAAATTGCTGCCAGAGATGAAGCAGCCACCAATTGGATGTCCGACAGGATTCCAGTGCCATATAGTGTCTGATCAAGCTGCCCAATTATCAGGCAGTAAGTATATGGTTAGCACATTCCTGTCGGACATCCAACTGGTGGCTTCTTCATCTCTGGCAGCACTTTTATAAAAACACATGAGATGTCCCAGTAAAATCACCAAAAGGAAGACTTTGATTTTGTGCACACATCAGTCCCTTAGCAGATACACAAACCAGATTACCGTACTCTGTGTGTTGTCTGTCTGTTATTGCTCCTGATGGTTGCTGCAACCCAGACAGGAATTTCAGGAGCTATAGCTAATCAGTCTATGAGGTTTGATTCAGAACATTGCAATGAACAAGGACATCTTTATTTGGCTAGTTAATTATGGATTTCACAATAATCAGGAAATATACTGAATTCCACAACCCAATTTTCTTTCAAACTTTGTGAAAAGAAAAAAAAACACATATAAAGGATGAGTACATCCAAATCCTATATGTTATTATAGATATATAAGATGAAAACCAACCACTGGCTTTTGCTATTTAGCTTAGTCCCTTGTGGTAAGGATCTTTTTACATGAGTCATACATCTCAACTTGTAGCAATTATTAGAGAATCTCAACATCCCAGTTAGTGTTTAATTTATTAAGAAGAAGGTTTGAGACATCATGGAAGTAGGAGAGAAACCTATGAAGTATGGCAGAGACATCTCACTGCTGGTGTGTTCAGGAGCTGTAAAGAGTAAACAACAAATTGTCGAATTTACATTACTAGTATCCATCCATAATCTGAATACCAGTCTTGGGTGGTTTAAACTTTTTTTTCATTAAATAACTGTGAATCTGACTTGGACTTAGCATTTAATTGCATCAAGACAGCAGCAGAGTGTTGTGTCATGTTAGCCATCAACAACAGTAGAAGCTTGGATTTAGGATGATGCCATTTAGGGCTGCAACAACTAATCAACATAATCGATTATAATCGATGATTGAAAAAGTTGTCAACTTTTTCAATCATCGATTAATCGGCTACCGATTGGTTTGCCCTGTTCACGGCTCCACAGACGCTGCGTGCCACACTCCTCCCCACCTCAGGCTCGCCACTGCCAGACCCGCCCGCATCCACGCCGCACCTCCTCCCTGCCTCACGCTCACCGCCCGCCCCAATCAACGATCGGCACAGGGACGCGGAGAGATGTAGTAAGGAGGAGCAGGTGTGGGCGGATGACAGCCGCCGATAGACAGGCCCGATCTCAGAAACAAGTTGCTGGAAGACTGCTCAGGTAAGCCTGCACTTGCCTCCCCACCACATGGTGCTCTATAATGTATTGCACGGAGAGAAGAAGTAAGGAGGAGCGGGTGTGGGCGGATGACAGCCGCCGATAGACAGGCCCGATCTCAGAAACAAGTTGCTGGAAGACTGCTCAGGTAAGCCTGCACTTGCCTCCCCACCACATGGTGCTCTATAATGTATTGCTGGGATTTGTATTCCTTTGTGCATTGCACTGTATATTATACCATCAGCTACAGAGCACTACAAATCCCAGCAATACATTGTACACTGTATGTATAATGTATTGCTGGGATTTGTTGTATTCCTATATAGCTGGTGGTATTCTGCATTGCGCTGTATAGAGGACTACAAATCAAGGAATGATAGATTATACAGAGCAATGCAGAATACCACCAGCTATAGAGGTGTACAACAAATCCCAGCAATAGTACATTATACAGTGGTGCAATGCCGAATACCACTAGCTATAGAGGACTACAAATCAAGGAATGATAGATTATACAGAGCAATGCAGAATACCACCAGCTATAGAGGTGTACAACAACACCCAGCAATAGTACATTATACAGCGCAATGCAGAATACCGCCGGCTATAATGTACTATTGCTGGGATTTGTTGTATTCCTCTATAGCTGGCGGTATTCTGCATTGTGCTGTATAATGTACTATTGCTAAGTTTTGTAGTCCTCGTTAGCCGGTGCCATTCTGCATTCATTGCTGTATAATTTTACACTTTCCATTTCACTATATTGCACACCACACTTTTTTTTTTCTTTTTTACTTCCACCGCTACAAGCTTGCTCCTGTGATGGGACTACTTGTTTGTATTGAGATTGCAGTCCATCACTGGAGCCATTTTTTAAAATGTCTTTAATTTTTTATCCGATTAACCGATTAATCGAACTTAATAATCGGCTAACGAATCGATTTGGAAAATAATCGTTAGCTGCAGCTCTAATGCCATTTTTTATCTAATTAAAAAGATTGTAGTGAGAGCTTTCATAGTAAATTGCCTCCTCTTCAGGCAATTTAAACTGTCACTGAGAAACATGTACTCTATTTTATACATGAAACATCAAAGGGATGCAGATGTTATCAACTTGACACACGATTGGCATTGGGTGCTAAAAAAAATTAGGACACATAGGGGTTATTCGCAAAGTTCCCGAAGGCAGCCGAGTGAATAACCCAGCCTAAGTGCAGTGAGCCGAACGACGTTCGGTTATTCACTCCGTCTCAGTACGGCTGATTTCAGCTGTACATTGGCTGAAATCAACCGTACATCGGCTGCCTTCGGTCAGCATGTTCGGCTGACCTGAAGTGCAGAAGGACTTCGACTCAGCCGATCCAACATCTGGGTCAGCTGAGCCGAAGCTCCGGCAGCTCACTAGCTGCTGATCGCCCCTATTCTCATAGGGGCCGAGCGGCAGTGAGTGAATAGCCAAATGCCACCAGGCGGTATTCGGCTCGGCTATTCTGCTCGGTACCTCCGTCATACCAAGCAGAATAGAAAATCAGTGAAAAGAGTGAAGACAAAAGGTTGAAAAATATTTTTTAAATGTAAACAAATAGTAAAATTAAAAAAGAAACAAAGATATTTTTAAAAAGAAAAAAAATAATTTGGGCGGAGCTAGCTCTGTTTGCTATTGGCCACAACCTGCTAGAGTCTTCTAGCAGGGCCCGGCCATAAATAACAACTGGCCGGCGCCGACCGTGACATCAGGGCTGACTCCGCCTAGTTGTTATTTTTTAATGACAGATCAGCGTCCCCAGGTCATTTGAGGTCCCCAGCGTCCCCAGGTCATTACAATTGGGCGTAGCGAGCCGCGAGAGTTCACGGCTGGCTCTGCCCAGCTGTCATTTGCGGGGCGAACTGCCGGCGCTTCGGCTGTCATTTCGGCGCAGTCAAGCCGAAGCATATGCCTTTGGCTCGGCTAAGCCACTCGGCCGCCTTTGGCGTCTGTAGGGGCTATTGTGAATAGCCCTTACAGCAGCCCCCCGGTTCGACTGAACCAAAGGCGAAAGAGAGCCATAGGATCAGCCGAAGCTACAGCTGTATCCTTCGGCTCAATAGTGAATAACCCCATAGATAGGTAT